TTGAAGATTGAAGATTTTTAATATAAAATTGTATTTATATACGTTCCACTGGGAATACTTGGCGATATTATGTGTCTCCAGAATATTGAGAGCTTTAAATTTGATCAACGATAAAGGGCATAAATAAGTTATTTTCAAAGGTTTACAGAAAATCAAGGTTCTTCCACCCTAAGCTTTGTTATTATTGGAAGGTCCTAAAAATTTCTCAAAAATCGGACTAAAAATAAAGGCTTAAAAGGAATGATATTCCTACATCCATATGGGGACAGTACCGTGCCAGTAGCTGTACAGGAAGACACGGTGATACCTGGTTTAAGTGAAACCATTATAGTAGCACAGCTTCAAGAAACTATGGAAGAAGGAACACCTGTCATGATAGAACTTTGAAACCACGATGAAGAGGTTGGACGAGGAATTCTGATCGGAAAGGGGTTGGTTACGACTGCTAAAGAGATTCCAGTCCGTCTTATAAACGTTAATGATCACCCAATTACCATCAAGAAAGAAACTAAAATCGGAACTTGTGTACCTGTAACTTCCATAATTCATCACACAACAGCTTCTGATAATTCCAACGATAAATTCGAGCAAATGATTGCAGTTGCTGGTCAATCTCTGAATCAATTAGAGGAAAAGAAAATAAAGAAATTTCTTCGACGATATCGTGACATTTTTGTGCCAAATGGAGGAAAAACAGGAAGAGCTTCTGTAGTAAAACACAAAATTGACACTGGTGACGACAGACCGATTCGTCAATTAGCTCGAAGATTACTAAAGACCAAGAGATAAGAAGCTGAAAGGATTGTTCGGGAAATGGAGGAAGACAGGGTGATAGAGCATTCTACTAGTCCATGTGTCTCTCTCGTAGTCCTGGTCCAGAAAAATGATGGAACTACGAGGTTCTGTGTGGACTACTGTTATTTGAACAATGTTACCAAGAAAGATAGTTATCCTCTGCCTCGAATCGACGATACCTTTGGATACATTGGCCGGAAGTAAACTATTTTCTACCTTAGACTTACAATCTGGATATTGGCAGGTGGAAATGGACCCAGTAGAAAAAGAAAAGAGCTTTCACCACCGAGCCTGTATTGTGTCAATTTAATGTTATGCCATTTGGACTGTAATGCCCCAGCGACATTTGAAAGACTTATGGAAAACGTATTGAGAGGGTTATCCTAGAAAACATGCCTGGTGTATTTAGACGACATCATAGTCTTGGGGAAGACCTTTGATGAACATCTAAAGAACTTAGATGTTTTTAAAAGACTCCAAGCTGCTCAGCAAAGATAGTGTGGCTGTAAAGAAGGAAAATATCGCTTCTATCAAAGAGTGGCCACAACCAACTTATAAACATCAAATAATAAGTTTTCTTGGGCTACGTACTTACTATCGAAGATTCATCAGCAAGTTTACAGACATTGCTAAGCCATTAACACGACTCACAGAAGAAGCGAAATAATTCTGATGGGACGAAGACATCCAAACTGCCTTTGAAACATTAAAGAAGCATTTAACAACAGCGCCAATACTAGGCTACCCACTACCAGAGGAAGAATTTATTCTGGGTACTATTGCCAGTAATGTTGGAATTGGAGGAGTGCTTTCACAGATTCAAGGGGGAAAAGAAAGAGTACTGGGTTATTTTAGTAAAGTGTTCTCGAAACCAGAGCGAAAATACTGCGTCACGAGAAGAGAATTCCTGGCATTTGTGAAATGCGTAGACACTTCCACCAATACCTATATGGAAATTCTTAATCCGTACCGATCATGCAGCCCTTAAGTGGTTGATGCAGTTCAAAGAACCGGGCTGCCAAATCGCCAGTTGGATTGAACAACTTCAAAAATACGACCTTAAGATCGTACATAGAGCCGGAAAAAGCCACAGTTATGCCGATTCTCTTTCTAGAGTACCGTGTTCAGCAGACTGCTCTCACTTCAACAGAGCAAAATCCAAAGAAAGTAGACTACTAAGAACAACTGTAGTCAACGATGAATGGGCCTCGGCCAAATTTAGGGAAGAACAAGAGAACGGTCCCCTCTTAAAGAAGATGAAACAATGGAAAGAGGAAAATAGTCGACCTACTTGGCAAGAAGTATCAAAATTATCTCCAGTAGTTAAGTCATATTGGGCTCAGTGGGACTCTTTTATTCTAGAAGAAGGCTTATTAAAGCGAGTACGAGTGAATGACGATGGTTCCGAAAACAGAAGACAGTTGGCCATTCCAAAGACTAGAGTAGCCGAACTACTTCGTCAGTTACACGACAGTTCATCAGGAGGACATCTCGGTGTTAAGAAAACCCTTCAGAGAGTTCGTGAAAGGTTTTATTAGATGAACAGTTCCGATGATGTAAAACACTGGTGTAAGAAATGTACCACCTGTGCTATGAGTAACGGACCCCAACGAAAAAGGAAGGCCCCCATGAAACAGTACAACGTCAGTAGCCCATTTGAAAGGATTGCCTTAGATATTGCTGGGCCATTCCCCATGACCGAGAATGGTAATACATATATGATGGTGGTTATGGATTATTTCACGAAGTGGGAGGAAGTCTACGCCATTCCAAATCAAGTGGCTGCAACTGTTGCCGACGTGTTAATAAAAATTCATCAGTAGATTTGTAGTGCCTTTGGAGATCCACAGTGACCAAGGCAGAAATGTTGAAAGCCAGCTCTTCTGAGGATTCTGTGATAGACTAGGCATAAAGAAAAGCAGAACTACGGCATTGCACCCAGTCAGATGGAATGGTAGAGCGAATGAATAAGACTATTAGCAAATACCTTTCAAAAGTCATTAGAGATTGGGATGAGTATTTTGGCTCTTCGCAATGGTGTATAGATCCGCTGTCAATGAATCTACATGCCAAACACCAGCAAAAGTGCTCTTCGGGCGTGAGATGAGACTACCGTGTGACCTCGAGTTTAGATGTGATCTAACTACGACGAAAAATGGATGACATGGATGACTTAGTTCGCTCGCATCTGCAAAAATGGTCTTGGGAAGGTCCGTACCTCATTAAGAAAAAATAAATGTCATTTACCGTATAAGTAAGATCCCGAACGGTAAGCCAAAGGTAGTTACCAAAACCGGCTGGCTCCATCTGAGGGTAACCATGACGAGGAAGAAGAAGTAAACCAGCTCCGAGAATACCTGACCTTGTCTTTGAAGAATTTATGGGTGCATATGGAAGTACCGGAAAAGTAAGATATGGTGTTACAACCGAGCAACAACAAGATCTGCTCACGGTTCCTAAAGACTACTCGCTGGTCCATAACACTTCCGCCAGCATCAGCGACGCTCGAGGTGTGGCATATGTATTTCGGAAAAATTTTGGTCGATTGCCAGAACTTAAAGGTCAATTTCCAGCTCCTGGAAAACATTGAAACTTCAAGATGAATCGCGTTATCTTTTCTATTTGGTAACGAAGAAAACCTTCCGAAATTGATCCACTTATCATGATGTATGAGAAGCATTACTCAGTCTGAGGGAGCAAGTTTTGGAGTCTAATGTACAGAAACTAGCCATGCCCAAGATAGAGAGGAACTAGCTAAATTGGAGGATCATTAGAAACTTTGTGGAAATTATTTCAAACATTTCGAGGTCCAAATACTAGTCTGCAGCTATTTGCCTAGTGTCCAGGTTTCAGCAAAAACCGCCCCTTGTTATTTCCATACGAATGAAAATTGTTGGAGATACAATAATTCAGTTTTAGATCCAGGAGGAACTATTTCTTAAGGAGGGAGCAATGTGACGCGAAGTCGTCTCTGTTCTTTGTTTACTTCTTGCCTGCGGTATGAAGTCTATCACTGGCCATATAGAGACAAACGCACCACTTCAAGAAGCTACCGGTTAGATGGCTATGTGGCGTCTGAGTCATGGAGAGGGAATTTCCGAACGTTCTGGAAGGCCGAGAGTGTTCTGTTACAGAGCTGGCTTTATATAAATAGCGCGAGTTTGTCGATGGACGGGAAGTTTAAAATTAAGTGTTGGCTCGCGGAACGTCCCCAACGTCCGAGCTTATATTGAAACGATTTAAATCTGACAAACAAAATACGTAAAAATAGAAAACGATTGATAATTCCTCGAAAAATGCAATAAAATATTTAAGAAAAGAATACAAATTTATCATAGGCACAATTACAATGTGAAAATTCGGAAACAAATCTCAGTTATTCTCCAGCTTACAATTTTCACAATTGTATAAGTTCATTAAGTTAAAAACATGAGTTTAAAGCTATTTTTGGATGGAACCAAGTACCAAAAAGCTGAAAAAGTTTCGAATTCAAGTATGTTTAAAGAATGGATCTATTTAAATTAATGATATAGCTTTATTTCCTGAACATTACAAAAGCAGAAGAACAAAAACATAAGAATTAAGTAATAATAAAGGAGTTTAATACATTTTTAGTCATTTCCAAAATTTGGCCCAAACCCGTCGATATAGTCCTGAAGTTCTTGAACTTGAAGATTGTCTATTTTATGGAATGGTCTTGTCTGGTTCCCTTTATTGAAATTAGGAATTTATGTTCCCTACTGTGTCGTTTGGTTCATTGACCAAAAGATGGCACTAGAGTAGAGCTAGTAATTGAATCTTTTTATACAAGGCTTGGTGCCTTTAACTCATGTTTGCCAATTTGTCGCTTGGTTCCTTTTAGATAAGCTTAGTCTATATTATGTTTAAGTTGTAACAAGTGATACACAAAAAAAACGTTTCTAAAGTAGGACATACCTGACAAAGAGAGATACGAGTCGCACCCATAATAATTACAAACAAATGTGAATTAAATCAAAATTATCATTTATAAAAGAAGAATTGTACGCTTTGACATGATGTAATTTTTTCCATGGCCTATTTTAGAAAAAATAATTTGTGGATCACTTCATATATTTTCCACGTTATTAGTAAATTTTCATAAATTTCGTATTTTTTATCATTTGTATATTTTTTCGTATTTTTATTTAGGTATATTTAAAGTAGTCTTCTTTGTGTTTTTTCAGTTAATTTCGAAGAAGTGGAACGAACAATTGCGAGCCAGGTCTAAAGTAGAGAAGGCTGTAACAAGAGGTAAACTTCAGGGAGCGACTTATGCGCAAACGCAGGAGTATTTGAAACCGTTGTTAAGGAAATTGAAAAATTTCTCTTTACCCGAAGATATATCGGACAGTTTGACCGAAATCGTTGTACATTTACTGGAGAGAAATTATTTAAAGGTACCTATTAGAAAATCTCATTTATTGTTTATTTTGTAAGATTAAATGTGACAAATCACATGTTTTTGTTTTTATATATAAATTTCAATAATTTTTACACACGTAAAACTAACAAAAGTAACTGACAAAAATAGAACAAACGCAAATTTTGTATGAAATTAAAAAAAAAGTGATTTATATATTCTTTTTCATATGACATATTTTTCGTTGGTGGCACAAAATTGTTCGAAAACATTTCTGAGGTCGGCGCTTAAAAAGTAATAAGTCGATATTACACATTTTTGGAGAATGGCGCTGGAAAATTTTGGGACACATCAATAAGGTATATTACATTACGAGTGTGGAAAGTGACATTTTTCACACGAGTGGGAAATATTGTCGCACGAGGCGCAAGCCGAGTGCGACTATAACACGAGTGTGGAAAATCACTTTTCACACAAGTGATGTACAATATTTTTCCTACGACCACAAAATAATATCAAAAAAATGTAAAACCAAGGTTATTATTACTATAATAATTAAAATGTATTCATTTTTGGAGAATGGCGCTGGAAAATTTTGGGACACATCAATAAGGTATATTACATTACGAGTGTGGAAAATCACTTTTCACACGAGTGCGACTATTACACGAGTGTGGAAAATCACTTTTCACACAAGTGATGTACAATATTTTTCCTACGACCACAAAATAATGTCATCAAAAAAATGTAAAACCAAGGTTATTATTACTATAATAATTAAAATGTATTCATTTTTGGAGAATGGCGCTGGAAAATTTTGGGACACATCAATAAGGTATATTACATTACGAGTGTGGAAAATCACTTTTCACACAAGTGATGTACAATATTTTTCCTACGACCACAAAATAATGTCATCAAAAAAATGTAAAACCAAGGTTATTATTACTATAATAATTAAAATGTATTTAAAAAAATAATCACGGGTTGGGTGGCTCAGTGGTAGAGTCTCTGCCTGCGGATCCAAGGGTCCCAGGTTCGAATCCCACCGTTGGCCAGGATTTTTTCATTTAATTTAATTATTTAAAATTAATTCTGATGCCTTGGTAGGATTCCCCACTCGACCATTCACTGTTGGGTACTAATTAACAATGCTGTTCCTAAAGTGGCGCTGGGAAACAGTTACAAAGCCTACACAGAACACGAGGCTAATAACCATAGCAGTTGATGCCGATGACACAAAAAAAAAATAATCAACAATAATCGTATTTATTCAAAGAGCAAACATTATTTTAAAATTATTTTAATAATAATTGTTAAAGATAAATATCTAGGATCTAATTTACAACGATTTCAATAATTTAACAATCATATCGATTTTAGTATTAATATGGACATTACATAGATCAAAATAGAAATTAGGTGTTTGACATTTTGTGACAACTTCTGCGGAAAGTAACTTATTCTCACTCGGGTGAAAAGTAAATTCTTATTCATACGCGTGTGATATAGGGCACTTTCCATAGGACTATATAGTGTGATATGTGTCACTTTCCTAAGTGGTCGTAGGAAAAGGATTTTTAGAATCCAAATCGATGATCTTTTTAGGAGATTTGGTCCTGTAAAAATTAAAAAATATGTAGACATACTTTGTTTTAACTGTTTTATGATACATTTGACTGTTTATGTTTAATTATGACGTTTTGTCTTCCGCGGTTACCCTTGTACATATTATTATATATGTTTTTTTGTACCTTGTTTTTATTACTTCACAACGTATATAGAATTGAATCCTTTTAGCTGCCCAAAATTTACACTCTTTTAAACGTATCTTGACTAAAAACTCCATTTACGTAAAAAACGACTTATAATCTTTTAAGCGCCGGCCACACATTTGATCGAAAGAACATTTTTTCATATAACAATTGATTGAAAAGAAAAATTATCGAAAAGAACAATGATCGAAAATAAAATTGATCGAAAATAGATTTGATAGAAAAAGCACTTGATCATGGAAAATGGCTTTTGTTGCTCCAATTCATAAATCTGGAAACAAAAATAAAGTTGATAATTTTAGACTCATCTCTAAATTGGATATTTTTAGTAAGCTATTTGAAAGTTCTATCTTTGATTTTATTTTCTATGATGTGAAAAATATTAACATCGAGCAGCATGGCTTTATTAAAAAACGTTCAGTCGATACAAATTTATTCCTTTACATTGAATACCTTTTGAAAAGCCTAAATGACAGAATGATTGTGGACTCGGTTTACACCGACTTCAGCAAGGCATTTGATAAAATTGATCATTCAATTCTTACTTCGAAACTTGCTGGCATCGGTGTCCACGGTAGTCTACCAAGATGACTCGACTCTTATGTTAGAAACAGATTACAAGTAACTTTGGGCAATTTCTTAACACTTCTGAAGTACTCTTGGGACCCCTACTCTCTAATCTATACATCAACTATATTTTTACGTGTTTTAATTTTGCTAAATTTATCATGTATGCTGATAATTTAAAAATATTTTAGTCAATATCATGTCCCAATGACAGAATTTTACTCCAACATGATTTTTATAGATTGTCAATTGTTTTCGGCAAAATAACTTATTTTTGAATGCGTCTAAATGTAGTTAAATACAATTTTCTCGCGGTAATGATATATTGAACAATGTCTACACTATCTCTAATTGTATGCTTCATCTTGTAGATAATCTTAAAGATCTAGGTATTATTCTGGACTCAAAATTAATTTTTGATAAGCTTATATATAATGTAGTCTAATAAGGCACACAGACAATTAGCTTTTATCTACAGATCTTGTTTTGAACTAAAAAACCTGCATAGTGTCAGAATCTTGCTTATGGACTATGTCAACTGTATTCTCATGGCTCTGTCATTTGGAATCCTCGCTGCTTGATTTATAATGGCAAATTGGAATACATTTAAAATAAGTTTATTTCTTATTGCCAAAGAAAATTTTATTCTCGTATATTAGAAAGACAAAATATTAGTTTTATTTTAAATATCATTAGTAGGCAAATAACCCTATGTCATTTTCATCCATAAGATCTTAAATAATAGAATTGATTGTGTTGAAATAATGAATCTTATTCGAATTGTTATTCCTAATTATTATTATACGATAAATTATTACACTTTCTTCGTAAATCAGGCAATAACAAATTACTATTTAAATTCGCCCCCTTCATAGGGCTATTAACACAATAAATTGTCGAATACTGTTGATATTGACATTTTTCTCCGCAATTTTATTAAGCTTAAAGACGCACTTAAAACTTACTTTTTAAATTTGTGACATACTGTTTTTGTAATCTAAATTTAATTTATATTTTAAAACTTCCCAACAAACAATAAATTGCCGGGATATTGCTAGCCTTTTGCTGTAATTGAAGGGGAAAGTTGTCATTTATTTGTATGTTGAAAGAAGGCCTTTGTAAATTACATTGCTCTCTATGGATCTACTTTAACACAAAAATAGTTTTGTAGCTATAAGTTGCTATAACCTATCGTCGCAAAACTATTAATAATTTAAACATAGTATGTAGTATTATTATAACATCAAGTAATTTTTTAAAATAAAGTACATGATCTCAAAATAGAAATAATTTATAATAAATGCGGGTAAAATAACAATAAATTAAGGAAAATACTTAAAAAGGGCAGGTTTAAAGAGTATTATCACAAGAAAGTATATCCGTTCTGTTTATTTATCAAGTATTGTTACTTTTGAATACATTTATTGTTTTTTTTTTTAATTTCTGTAGGCAGTCTATTAAATTTTTTAAACCTTTAATAAAAATTGTATTTTGGGAACTTTTAGTGATGGCTTGCCATACATGAAAGTCAGATTGGCTTCTTGTATTTTAGTTGTGATATTTTCAATTATATTGAATTTTTCTAATAGATCTGATGCGATGGTACTATGTCATTTTTATTTTATAAATAAATATCAGTCATGTACTGAACATAATTCTGAACTGAAAGCCAATTTATTTCTTTTATCATAGTTACAATACTCATACTTCTGTCCTTTATTAATATTATATAAACAGGCGAAGTAAGGAGCCCAAATATTTTACATTAGCAGGCTTAAGAGGTAAAGGGGCCAATTATTATTGGATAAATTGCTCAAACAAGTTTGTAAACCCTAATTAAAAGGCGATATAGAATGGTTTTAAAAATCAAGGCTTATGGAAATCATCACATGGTTTAACCTAATTAATGCCAATGCTTCACAAACCAAAAAATCTGATGTGTCCAACACATGACTTTCCTATCTAGTTATTACAGGCTTTTTCCGGTTATTTTGTACAACCTATTGCAGCACCTCCATAAATGTTTACGAGGATAAAATAAATATATACATTTTCCACATACATCTACCTCGAAACATTTTTCTATAGATATTCATTGAAAATTAAAATACTGGAAAATTTAAATTTAGCACTTTTCCTACAATTTTTCCATTACGGTCCATTTTAGAAAAATCATGTATAAACAAAAATTATAGAGATCGATATCGCAAAAACTTTTATTTCAACAATTTTCATAAAAATCGGAATTTTGCACATTTTGTCAAATTTCTCGAATACGGACCATTTCAGGAAATTTTGACAAAAAGCAAAAATTATAGATATTATTAGAAATAACTTTTATTTAAACAATTTTTTTTTCCAAACATAAATAACATAATAATATAAGAAGTAACTTTTATTTGAAGAAATTTCTTCCCCAAACGTAAATAACAGATATATTCCATAAAATATAAAAATGACCACCTATAAAGTACCCCCCCAGATGTTCCGACACTGACCAAAATCTAATCAGCACATTGGACGCTGGAACAAAGCTTAAGTTTGAAATTTGGTGTTTTTCTGTGTATCGGTTCATGAGTTATGCGACACACACACACACACACACAGACATCATCGCGAAACTAGTCAAAACGGATTCAGGGGACCTCAAAACGTAAAAATCCGTCCAAAAACTCGAGGTCGAAAAAAATCATGATTCCTATACTTTCCTTATATCTGTATACAGATAGGAAAGAAAAATTCAACGTCCTAATACTACTATCGGCTTTTGGTCTTTCGTTCCAAGTTAAATAATTTCTCGTTTTTGTTACGCTAGAGTTTAGCCTTGTGGGCCTCAGTCTCGATAAGGTGGGAACCACCATTTTAGCGTCTCTCGAATTAATATGGTAAAAGGCCAGCAATTTCCCTTTAACTTCCCATCAATAGGTCATTAATTGCCAATATATTTATTTTTAGACATTAAAGGGACAATGAAGGCCCATTAATTGGTTATGATGGCAAAGTGACTGACCCGATTGTCTGTCGTAGTGGCCTATAGAGGGAAAGCACACTCATGCGACACGTCGCGCGCGACTGATCGCGAGGCATCGCGCGTTGCAATACTTTAGATGTTTTTAAATGACTCAAAGCCCATTAACGCGGTTTTGTCGCGTGGTCGCACGCGGCTGAAAATTAGAAATGACAAACCCGCGATTTTCCTGCCGCACGCGGCCAGCGTTATCATAGATACGTATGGAGCATCACTCATACAATCGTCAAGTCGCGTGCGAAACGTCAGTTGAGAGTTGGAGTTTCCTACTAATTTTTCGACAGTTCCAGTAAAAAAATGTCAGACAGTTGTATTGATATAGATGAATTTATATCCGATATTTAAGACCGACCTTAAATATTGAACAGTTAATTGAAATAAAATAGCGACAAAAATATTTGTTCGTGAATCTGCGTTAGCATTCTGCAATATTTGAAGAACTTATCTTCGAGGTTGACGTAAATTCTTATATAATAAATTAAATGCGCCTTTTACATAAAAGTCTATACATAATGGATGAACCCAGTACCTACGTCGTTTCAATTTTTTCCGCCGACGAACAAAATAAAACAACACCGTTGCTACTTCTTCCATCTCTATTTTGATATTGAACGTCTGTGTCGCTGCTTGTCGTCTGTTAAAAATCGCACCTAAAAAATCGCATGTGGTAGGTCGCGAGCGACGTGTCGCGTGAGTGGGCGTTCCCTCTTATATGTCGGCCTTTTAATTAAAAAAGTCAAATGGCCATCAATGTAATTGGAGGGTAACAGTTATTGGACCTTTAATTCCCCTACACAAAATGTTTGTTGGGTTATAATAATTGTTCACTTGTATTGGTTGTTATATATAAGTACCTTGCATTGAATTTGTAGCATAGTTTTAATTTAAATTTTTTGATTATTTTTAGTGGACACTGTTCTGGGTTTGTCCTGTTTGTATCCTAAATGAATAGAAAAAATAAAAATAATCTCTACCTCAAAAGTGACCAATCGTCCGCTGTACATTTGATTTTTTTATTGTAATCCCAAGAGACTGAAGAAATAGGAGGTCAACAGACATTTTCAATTATAATTTTTTTTTATCTTCAGATTTTTAACATTATTTATCGTATTTGTAAACTGTAAGATGCCTTCAAAAACAAAATGTACTATTGTTTGAAATCGCTATAACGCACCGATTTCGAGAAAATTGAATTTGAACTTTATCCGTTGCTTGTGATTAAAAAATTAATTTATTACAATAGGTACTGACAGATGTACATTGGCTTTGGCAAAACAACAAAATTTAACAGATTTTAATGTTAAAGGTTAGTCTGAAAAAATTGACTTGAAGGCGCCAACTTCAAAGAGTTCTAGCTATAGCATTTTTGGATTCAGATAATTTAAGTTAACTCGACATAAAATCTAGTATAATATCTGAGGTTTTCATTTGACATGAAAGTTTTGGGGTTTAGTACTATTTTTGGTCTAAGATCCCAAGTAAGGTCGACCTTCACCCATCTGTTTAAAGGATGAGTTTCTTTTTATTAAATAAAATATGTTTATAAATATACCGCAATGGGTTGCCTAAGAAAATACCGGTCCTGACTATTTTCTTAAAGTAAAAAAACGACAGATGCTTCGACTATGCCCAAACTTTAATCTGCTTACTGCAGGATGGATTAAAGCTTAAGTTTAAAATTTGGTGGTTTTCTCTTCATCTGTTTTTGAGTTATCTTCAAAATTCGAAATTTGCACTTTTCCTCAAATATCTCTAACTAAGCAACTTTATTCCTATACTTTCCTTATCTGTACACAGAAAGAAAAGTAAAGAATGACCGTGACCGTATTTTCTTAGGTATATTTAAAAACCTATTTTATTTATTAAAAAAAAACTTTTATCCATTAAACAGATGGGTGAAGGTCGACCTTACTTACGCATCCTGGACTATTTAAAATTTCTGTAATATAAGTCACAGCAATTATAATATCAATTTTATTTCAGGCTAGCGTAGCTTTCTTACAAATGGCGATAGGCAACGCCCCATGGCCGATTGGTGTCACCATGGTCGGTATCCACGCGCGTACCGGTAGAGAAAAGATTTTTTCCAAAAACGTCGCCCACGTCATGAACGACGAAACGCAACGCAAATACATTCAAGCCCTCAAAAGGCTCATGACCAAATGCCAGGAGTTTTATCCGACGGATCCTTCAAGGTGTGTGGAGTACCAGAAGCCTGAACCTTCCACCTGTTCGTAAATGTCATAAAATAGCTGCACACTTCGAAAGAGAGGCGAAAATAACTGTATAAATTCGATGACTATTCTAACTTCAAAATGACGATTTACCAGTGTGGGTTGTTGTTGCTGCCAATAAACAATGATTATTCCTTTTTGGAACATTTTAAAGTCGTCTTTGGTGTTCCAAATCAATCTAATGTCCCGGGTATCTGCCATCTTTGAGTTTCGTGACAGTACAGTCAACTTCATGTTTGTAATAATTTTAGAAAACAATTCTACAGCTTGCTGTAATGTTTTGGATTTCTAGATTGTCGTAACTTTTATTTTGGTTGATTATTCGATCATGTATTAGGATAGATAGGCCTTACTCGTGGAAGTAGTTGGTTTAATGATTATCAAGACGGTGAAAGAGGAAAGGTACTCAAACAGAAAACTTGACAGTGCCGTACCTGTATGGAAGGGGTATAGTGTTTTGTGGTATATTTTTAACTTTCAAAGCAAGAATATTATTTCATAGTGTTTTAATGTGATACTACATAGTCCATGCACAGGTTTGTCCTCTTTTGCATATTTACTTAATTTTAGAGGATTATTAATTTTATACTTTAAGCAATTTTTATACATTTTGAGTAAATATACCTACTATAAAGCTTGACCGATGGAGAAAAGAGAATAGAAAAATATTGCCACGAACCTGTTTTCTATGTGAAGCAAGAATATTATACATATTTCTGACTACATACCTTCCTTTATGAAATAAAATAAAAACCAATTAAAGCAATTTTATTTATCAACCAAAAATAGTTATACATAAATACGGAGATTTATAAACTACTGTGGCAAAATTTTGTCGTTTAGAAGTTACAGGGAACAGAAGAAATAATGTTATTGTGTCTGTTCTCTATTTTAACACATGAAGTGGTGTAACTAATCAAAATGGGTAGCGTCTATTACAATTTGCTGATAACATATTTTTAAATACCTATAATAAGAATTTCCAATTTAAAATGGTTTTATTTGGATAGATGGTTATTTTTAAAAAATTGAAATGCAAATCAAAACCTACAATACTGCTTTGTAAAGCATATAAGTCGTATCTGACAAAACCAAAATTTTGAGAAAGTGCGCGATTAGTAAAATTGCAAATGCCACAAGTTTCCGATTTTTTTAGCCTTTTGTTTTTTGCAAAACCGACTTAAGTTATCTGTTCAAAATTTCGGAAATTTGTTACGGAAACTTGAACCTAATACAAAGGTGACTTTTGAAAGATACGACATTTTAGCCTAATATTATCATTAAGAAAATGAATACGAAAAGACGTATCTACACAAATTGGTTTAAATTCTTTATTTAAAACATATTATTTAAGTAGGTACGAAAAATATAAGAAAAGCTTGTTACTCCATGCATTTCGGTGTTACTAGGCTTCATCACTGGAATCTTCATTTATCGTTTCAGCAGTTCCGGAACATATGGGTAAATTTTCCCAAAACTCTTTTCTTTTCTGAGGCATAATTGAGCAAAGTTTATTCAAAATTTGGGTTTTTCTCTCTTTAGTTATTCCTCGAGGGCACTGCTTTGAGCCTGGTTTTAAAATACACAGTTTTGTTAATTTCGCATTCAAAAAATTCAACTCTCTGCCTTCTTCAGTGGAAGATGATTTGTAAATTAAGGTTTTCTATTTTCTATAGAAACCTTCAACCATAGTTTTTAAATATGGCCGCGGGGAAATTTTACTTAATTTGTATTGTGAGGTACCATCTTTCCACTCAAAGAAATCGTTTGTTTGAATTTCAATTATATTTACATTTTTTGTTGCGCTTCTGACAGCCGATACAAAATCCTGGAAGTCATAAACCTTTCCAGCTCGTTTCAAGAATTTTTCAACATTGTGGTGAAATGAATCTGCAGACATGAACGTGTGGCCCGGCTCAAAGTATTTTACTACGAGTTCATCTAGCAAAACTTCGTTAGAATTCACAATGTAAATAAAAAATGTGAATAGACTGCAATTTTTATTTTGCCTGGAGCAGTTATCAAGCCACAACACAATGTTCTTTTTGTCTCGTGCGGAGAGGAAAAAAGCATAAAATGTCTTCCTTGGAACGTCCACTTACAGGTTCATGCCAAAGAACTGCTGTTGGGCCTGACTACTTTTTCCCAACTGGTACAAAACTCTCATTAAAAGCGATGATACGCGGTGTAAAAATTGCTTCTTTAAACATCTCAATTCTCGGAAGCATGATGACCTGAAAGTAAATTGTTAAAAAGGCACAATTATTTGTAGCAGTCATAAAAAGCTTTACCTTTTGAAGGTCATCGGAGACGACTAAATCTGAGATTCCAGGAGTAGTTGCATCTTTTTCATACTCTTTCCGAGCTTGTGTGTATTCCAGTAGGTGATCTTTGAATTTAATACATTCCGCACAATCCTCATCTAAGTTTTCTTTCGAATGGTTACTTTTTTTTATGTACATTGAAAAGTTAGCAGGTCCAACATTCCTCATGGCCCAGCTTCACAAAAGCAATGTTAAGGCTACTTACTACTTCTCTGTACAGATAGTATGAACGCTGGCTATGTGGATATTTAGTCTTAAAATTGTCATGCATTTGCTGAATGGTAATATCACTCGGTAAGTATCTTCTCTTGGGGGGGCATGCTCCCTTCTATAATGTGCGATAGTCGGCTGGAATGACTCGATATGGTTTATAATTATATCTCTATCAATTTTCACCTTCTCCTTTTTACCTCGTTTGTTTGGGTTCGGAGTAAGGCCAGCATTTTTTGACTTGTTCAATACATGCCTAACAAATCGGTCGTTTTTTGTTAAAATGTCGTATATGAACGTTGTAACATCTCCCTCATTAGCTATGATATTGTCTATGTCCGAATAATTGTCATTAGACGAAGAACCTTCTGCATTTTTCACAATAATATTGGAAATTATGTTTATTCTTTTCTCCTGGTTTGTTGAATTTTCAGCATCAAGACTTTCAGTTATATTCACATCCTCGACTAAATTAGTTAAAGATACATTTGGCTCTGGCACATCATGCGAATTGTCCATGTCTTCCATATCTGTTAAATTAATATTGCCTTCCGTATCATTATTCATTATTTCCTCTAGAGAATCTTCATCAGAGACATCAGACCGCATATAATCAGCATCGTCTTCTTTTTTGAAGCGTTTCTTGTTATAATTTTGTCTGAGATTTAAGATTTTCTTCCTTTGTTGACGATTCAAGGAAACCATCGCCAACATTTTAAAACTTCTACCATTCCTGTTCATCCTGGCTGTAATTATAACAATTATTGTTGAAATTTATCCATAAATTAAAGGCAATACATACCAGTCGATTGATATAATTCGAATTTTTCAATAACAGCAAAAAATTGAGGTTATGTTATTCTATGTGTTAAGTGAAAAAGTCGTATCTGCATTTTATTCAGTCAGTTACGACGTTTGGTGCTAACAAGTGTAGATTCGACATTAATGCTTAACAATTCGTCCTATTTTGCAGATACGACTTTCCTATTTCATACACACTAAGCTCTACTAAAAGCAGATTCGACTTCTGGCTCTAATAGTATAAGAAAAAATGTTTATGTGATTGTGACCAAGCAAAAACCTGAAAAGTGTAAAAAAATGTAGACACGACTTTTATGCTTAACAGGGCAGAATAAATAGGTACATTTTATTTAAAAATTAAGTTTCATAATAAATATAATTAAAAATAAGCTTCAAGATTTAAATTTTAAGATAATAATTATTATTACTACATGTAAGCAACTCATTTGAAATTGGTTGGTATTAGATACCATAAGCATTTATTATATTTACCTGCAGTAAAATTGTTTACAATTCAAAACCCATTGGTTATATTTAGGCAATAAAAGGAACATCATTATGTTCCTCAATAATCCAAGTAGGTTTATCGTTTTGAATATTTTGTCTTGAAATTAAATCCTGATATTTCCATGGTTTTATGCAATATTCAACATTTTAACTGATAGTTGGCAACGTTGTAACCATTTGCAATTATTCTATAGGCTCCTTAGGGGGGCAAATAATAAACAATATGTTCATATCAATTTGCTTCTAAATGCCCAATTAAACGAATACATTAAGAATTTTTTAGAAAACTGAAGATTTTTACGTAAAAAAATTAAAAATTCCGATGCGATAGCTAATGGTACAAAAAGGGCTTACCAAATGAGTGGTATGTAACGACACTTTTAGAACCTGTCATAGATTTTTAAACCGCTCAAATAGATGATTTTAAAACTGTGATGTCACTGACAGTTAACGGTTTATGAGTGTGTAAATCTTTAGCAACAGATAATATTTTGCCTATGTCAAAGAGAAGCTCATATAATATTACCAGAGCTTTATGAAAAATGGATCGGTATTTAGAATCCGACTTTAACCAGTTGTTTAGAATTACAAGGTCAAGTTTTCAAAAATTATAAACCTTTATAATTATGCATTTTCTAATTTTGCTTATAATTATAAATTTTCTTTTTTATCATAAATTTTATTATGTATCCTATGCTCTATGATGCTCGCTATTATTTTTGACATTAATGGCATTTGTATTTCCTTAAACTGTTCTCAATGAAACGTTTCTAAAACAGAAGCAGCTGGTTTAAACCAATTCAACGTGACGCCATGGTTGCCTTACTTGAATGGGAATAGTTCAAACCGTTTTCAAACCGCATGAAATATATTTAAACCAGTTGACCGCTTGCAGTCAGTGTCGTTGAACAAAAGGGGATATCGATTCTTAAAAAAAAAGTACTTGAGTGGATATCGACTCTAAAAAGAAAGAAATAAAGAAAAAATATCAAAGAAATTTCAAAACACGTTATTTTATTAAAGAAGGGAGGTACGTCGGGAGATACTGCTAAGCTTGAGCTTGCATCAATTTTTTGAATATGAGCTGATAACATCAATTATTGGATTATTGCTAAGCAAAAAAAATAAATTATTTTGAATTACCTTTTTTCGAACTGTATCTACGTTTCCTTTGTATTTATTGAACTACAACTGGGAGAGAACAGTTCTTCTTTTTTCACAGTAATTTAGACCTCAATAACACTTGGTTTCAAAAAAGAATTGTTTAACTAGGTGTAAGTAGGCGTTTGCAATAAATATTTATAAATTACTTTATACCTATATCAATACGAAAGTATGTATATAAAGACATTTGTTTTCTTACTCTATTGGCAAAACATTGGATTTTAAATAAAATGTCCTATTAATATAGCTAAATAAATCTTCAGGTGAAAAGTGATCTGATATTTGCTGACTACTCAAAACTATTTACTTACATGATCATTATATTTTAATCCGTTAGGCTGCAGGGCTGGCTGAGGCACACGTTGCTTTTCCTACTGTTTGGCTTTACAAAAAAACCAACCGCGATTTTGCGTGACCGACCCGTGATTCTACTTTCCGACACAAAAAAAAGGAATTCACTTAGTACCAATGATTACGACCGCTCGTCAACAAAAACCATAAGGAGCCCCCAAAAATTAACTTGTAATTTTCCAAGAATGCTCTTGTTGATCTTTCTTGACCCTGTACTTTAACGATTTAATAAATATTTAATAAAACCTTGTCCAACTACAGGTTTTATTATTTTATTAAAAATCTGTTTAGCGCGCATGCCCTTGGACAAAACTTTACAAATCATAACATACCTATTCACAGGGTATTTATTCGTAACAATATACCATAAAATAACCAGTTTCTACAATTAAGTATTTTTATATCAAGAAATAAAACCCTATCGCAGTTGTTACGCCCATGGATATCTACATTCTTTACATTTCATGAGATTGATTTTCTACCTGTGAAAAGAACGAGCATTGGTTTTGGTTCAAAATTTTCGGAAAACTATGCATCTCTTTAATATTTTGAAATGTCTAATTACGTTTGCAAACCATTTCTTTTATATAAATAAATAAAAGAATATTCCACTAAAATAAAACATCCAACAGCACTTTTAGTGAACAAAATCTAAAACTACCTAATTTAAAAACCGATTCAATGCAGGTTGTTGAATGAACTGTTAAATATTTAGCTCCATATTAAGTAACTTGAACCTTGAAACATTTGGAACTAATCATGATTATCCTTATACGCTTAACCAAAAGAGACACTGGCAACCTCTGCTGGTACCACCGCTTGTTGTGCATGCGATTGTGGACCTTATTATCATACTACAATTAATTGTTCATGTAAACAAGGCGTATATATCCCCATACATGATCGAATAGTTTATTTCGAACATTCTAATGTCTAGAACAGTGTTACTTAAAGTGTTACAAAAATACGCGCCCTGGGAATACTTAGCGCTGTTATGTGTCTCGAGAATATTGAGAGCTTCAAATTTGTGCAACGATAAGGTAGCACAGGTAGAGTTTAAGAAAAAAAGGTGAGAAATCCTCCCATTTAAAAACTACTACATATTACTAAATCAAAAAGCTGCAAATTTTCATATATTCAATTCAGAATGGCGCGTAAATGTTTTTTAAATTCCTTTTAAAAATTATCAAAATGAATACTTTTCGAAGGTTTATAAAATAATCAAGGTTTCTCCACCTTAAGTTTTGTTGTTATTAATATTTTCTAAAAATTTAACAAAAATCGGATTAAATAAAGGCTCAGAAAGAATTAGACATTTTCAAGGTGTTTGGTTTGCTCTTAAGGTGTAAATAAAACAAGATTTTTTTGAATATTTTTTTATTTAATATCTATTAGAATATCTTCAATAAAATAAGATTGTAAAACTTAAAATAAAATACTGTTTTCAAAAATGTACGCATATATTTAATTATTGTCCCTTTTACTCTTCTCGTTTAGCTCTACTGCTCTCAGAGCGGCTGCTTGAACAGCGTCCATTATGGCTCCTCTGAAAAATAAATAAATAAATATTAATATTTGACAGTCAATAACAGGTAACTTCCTATCACGAAGTATAGATACCAGGAGTCCGAACGTAATATTGAATGAATGGCATCAATTTGGGGGACAGAATTTTTGCCGGTAGGGCGCGCCACTTTTGAAGAACTACTCGTTTAATTATTATTTGAAAATTAAACCAATTTATTAATCAAGCATTTGTTAAAAACACATTTTTAATATTAGAGGTTACTCACTTTCGGTGCTTTGAATAAAGCCACTTTTCCTAAATTCTCATTTGCCTTTCGGTACGTCCTGAATATTTGCGCAGCCAGTGGCAGAAAAAAGAACTAAGATCTGGGTTTAATATTTGAATACATGAATCCTACAAAAAAGCCTATACGGACTCCTGGTATCTATACTTCGTGCTTCCTATGTTGAGAGATACGCTTGTAGCAACTGTCGCTTTCGAAGGTTGTTTAGGGTGAGGTTAGTCATTTACGTTCCACCGCAATGTAATAATTCTGGGAGTCTACGATAAGAGGGCGACCAATAAATATAGAAAATATTGGAGAAAAATAACAAGAAAGCAAAGATAAATAAGTGCAATGATTCAACTCGAAAAGAATAAAAATTTCGCTTTGTTTCTTCTGAGATTAAAAATGTCTTTTTGAAATTGGATTAATCATATATCTTCTGACCTGACATAAATTCGAATATTGTTGGAATATTCTAGCACGCCACGGGCGGCATCTGTTTTAAAAAAAGACATGCGCAGCGCAAGCTCGACGTGTGCACGCAATTATAAATGTATATGATATAATATTGCACATAGCGCATGTTGTCCATGCCTCCATCACGTAACCCACCAAGAACAACTAATAGAAACGGATATATTGTCCTATTTTCCGACTTACAAATGTAGTCAGGATCATGTAGAATAATTTTTTGGATTTATACAAGTAATGGGAGGAAATAATAATCCTTGTTCATGGCAAATCAAAATTGCTTCCAAAAAAATGATGGTTCACCTTGAATTGCGAGATTCGTTCTTGGGAAACTGTGTACTATTGGAAACAATTCCAATTATGACACCATGAAACATTATTAACAAGTCTTGTGGTAAGGAAAGAATTGCTGAAGTAGAAGAAGACATTGACATAAAATAGAAAGAAACCTTTCATACCAATTTTTTTGAGCAAGATCTGTCTACTTTTAAAAAGGAAGTTATGGTATACATGTCTGAATATGTCATTTATAAAATGGGTAAAACTTTAAAATCCGAAAAATGTTTGAGCGGACTCATACGAGAAAGGGCAGAATACTTAATATCTTTCAATCAACAAAAGGAGACTTATAGAATGACATATCCTTCAGAAAAT